TCAGTGCATTTAGTTGCACCTCGACTAAAACCAAAATATAAACAGTTTATATATATATATATATATATATATATATATATATATATATATATATATATATATATATATATATATATATATATATATTAAAAATATGGTCCTGAATTTGCTAATTTAAAATATGGTCCTACTGGGAATTACCATGTTTCAAAAACAGAAACTAAAACTCTAAACCGTAAAAAAACTGTTAAGCTTTTTAACATCTTCGATCATATATTGACCTGGCTTTATTTGTATATAAAATGCTAATTCCTCTGTGAGAATTCAGACCCGTGTTTTCTACTTTTTACATATTTATATATATATATATATATATATATATATATATATATATATATATATATATTAATAATTGTTTGAAAACCTCGATAGGTCAACTTGCAGTAGAACAAATCGGTACCCGAGGAAAAAAAAATGTAAATAAAAAAAAAAGAAAGAACCAAGATTATTAAGCAAGACAAAACCAACCGTCAAGTGGTTCAGCCAGTGTTACCCTGAAGATCCGTTGAGGTGAAACCTAGGTAGGTTTGCCTGGCTCCTTAGGATTATTCTAGTACTATATATATATATATATATATATATATATATATATATATATATATATATATATATATAAAGTTTGGTAGTACAAAATTTTATCACTGCCATAAATAGACAAAAATTAGATTTATTATTACCACTCATAATAATAAAAAGTAAAAATGGAAAACGGTCTAGCTAACCGGTTTCGTACCTCGCTCAATAGAGCTAAATCGAGGTTAATAAAGTAAATTATGTAATGAAAAAAAGAACAATGGACAAAGTTTATTGGTGGGAAAAAAATTATTAAATGGTAATTAGTTGGAGGCCTAATACAAAGTCCTTCTATTTACAAAGAGAAGTCTTTAGTGATAGAATATAGATGGCCTTCAACACTTTTAGGTGATAATTTGAGTGGGACTTACTCAGGATGGTAAAAACATCACCACTAAAACTAACATCACAATTATATATATATATATATATATATATAAATTCGTAAATCCTTCTGTACGTATACGAAAATCCAACAAGTTATATTTACTTACTATTTTCTCTCTCTCTAATAGTATTTTAATATATATATATATATATATATATATATATATATATATATATATATATATATATATATATATCTGCATATATAAATAAGCACATAATTTCTGGGGGAGATTAGAAGACGAAAATCTGTAAATATAAATTCATGTGTTGAGGTTTAATTGTTTCGTTTCTTCAAATGTAAGGCTTCCTTTTGATAAAGCTCCATTCACTTCCATAGAGGTTCTTTTCACTTAGATACTCAATTCAGCTGGCATCACTGAATGGCTTGCCTCTAAAATAACACCATGGATAGTGATAGAAGTGTCAGAACATGAGATAGAATTGAACAGAACTGGGAAAGTCAATATTGAAAGCTTAAAGAATTCTGGTATTTGAATACCTTATATAATATTTTTGAAAAGCTGTCATTGAGATTGAAACAGGTTTTGTTTATTGATTTCTGAGGCAGAACAGCGTCTATTTCAAAGCAGATTACATATTTTGTCTATTTAAAAATTCGAATAAAATATATATATATATATATATATATATATATATATATATATATATATATATATATATATATATATATATATATATATATATATATATATATATATCGATGCGATGAGAACGAATGTAATATATAAATTCCAACGTTCACAGCATTAATCCAAAAGAGGGTTCGATATCGATAGTAGAGCGATAATTAATTAATTATTTATTATAATTTTATCATATAGTGGATAAAATTGTTTTGTCTATATGATAATGTATATATATATATATATATATATATATAATCTTTTTCATATATATATATATATATATAGGAAATGTATGTATATATATATATATATATATATATATATAATCTTTTTCATAAATATATATATATATATAGGAAATGTATATATATATATATATAATCTTTTTTCATAAATATATGTATATATATAGGAAATTTATATATATATATATATAAAAAATCTTTTTCATAAATATATATATATATATATATATATATATAGGAAATGTATATATATATATATATATATATATATATATATATATATATATACATAGGAAATGTATATATATATATATATATATATATATATATATATATATACATATAAATATAGATAACTAGACTCGTTTCGAAAAACCCTCGAATTTTTGATTTGCTAATCAAATCAATCTCGAGGGAAAAAAAGTTTTAAAAAAAAAGAGCTACAAACATGAACTTCTGCCGACAAAAAAAATCGCACAGATGCAGGTTTGAAGCCCAAAGAAAAAAACCCCGATACGAGTAACAACTAACTAACAAAAGAGCTCAATACAACCGTAGAGTAGACCTAGATACACCTAGTGAGCCAGACAAACCTACCTAGGTTTCACCTAAACGGATCGTCAGGGAAAGTTTGCCAAACTTTCCCTGACGATCCGTTTAGGTGAAACCTAGGTAAGTTTTTTCTGGCTCACTAGGTGTATCTATATATATATATATATATATATATATATATATATATATATATATATATATATATATATATATATATAATATTTTCATAAATATATATATATATATATAGGGAAATGTATATATATATATATAATCTTTTTCATAAATATATATATATATATATATATATATATATATATATATATATATATATATATATAGGAAATGTATAAAAGTTCAAAGGAGTAATATAACTTCAGACAGTCTTCTAAGAATATTACCTACATTATCTGTCTATATTTCTGAGATCAGGTATTACGTATCCCCATATGCGCGTGCGCAAACAGGCAGATAGTTTTGAATATATTTTGGTTATCTGTCTATATTTCTGAGATCAGGTATTATGTACACTATTTACATTATTCGTGAAACTAGAACAGTCTACCCCAGTGAGCGAAATAAAGGATTCAATTCGACATTCCTATCCCCTGAAGAAGGCCGGAGCGTACAACGGCCGAAACTTTGTAATAAATATGTCGACAAAGATGAGGACAATAGTCCGAATAATGTAAATAATGAATAGTACCCACTATAAACACATGTCAAAAATGTTATAGTACATCACCAACATTTATTGAATCTATTCTTGAAGAATCTAACGTATCTAAAATAAATGCTATGTACGTAAAAACGTTCCCATATCAATATTCGAAATGTCAACAAGCATAATGTCTACTAAACACACACACTTACGAATATACAATATCATCAGTATCCCACACAGACAGACTAGTATTATTATACACTTACATATATGTAAGGCTTACATTTACTTATTTACTGTTTTTCAGGTAAGCGTGGAATCCGTTATTTTTTAAAAACTTTGAATGGATCTGAATGGAGTTTGAATTCGTAGCGTCACAAATTATACTGATATTTGTTTAACAAGTCAAATGCACGTAAAACATGACTGATCAATGAAAATCAAACAACACAAAAAGTAAAAATATCAGAATTTCTTTCTTCTTTTTCTCCATATCTTATTCCCTAATGAAGCTTTAATAAAAGCGAAACATGTCAAACTGATAAACTTCTTGTTCTTTATCTTATCATATGTGACATAATAAACGGCGTGATAAAGTAGTAGTAGTGAGACCAATGCTTGTGTTTGAATTGTTACAAGAGAAGCATTATCTAATCGGTCATATGAATTCATGGACAATATTAGTTTGTTGAAGTCTTCACTTTTTTGTTTGTTTCGTTTTTATGTCGAAAGGGAATTAAATAAAACATGCACCAAAAACGTAGACCGGCCATGATATAGTCAAAAAATGTTCAAAAGTTGTTCTTTCAGTGTGAGCCCAAGATTTGAACGTCGACTGGATCTCAAGTTCAGTAAAGATCACAAGTAGAACTTATATATACGATCCTTTGCTAATAGCAATCCAAGAAGTACCCGACTCTTTCTGCTAGGCTATATCGTTATAAGAGTCAGATCAGACGGAAAATGGTGCATTGCTAGCGAGGTAGCAATGCGCCATGTAGCTAGCTAGCTAGCTATATAGATAGAAACAGTCATAGATCGATAGATAGATAGATAGATATAAACAGTCAGAGATAGATTGGTCGATGGATCGATACATGGATATATATATATATATATATATATATATATATATATATATATATAGTGATAGATAGATAGATAGATAGATAGATAGATAGATAGATAGATAGATAGATAGATAAACAAAGATACATCGATGGATGGATGGATCTATAGATAGATATAAACAGACAGTGGTAGATAGATAGATAGATAGATAGATAGATAGATAGATAGATAGATAGATAGATAAACAGTCAGAGATAGATCGATGGATGGATGGATCTATAGATAGATATAAACAATCAGTGGTAGATAGATAGATAGATAGATATATAGATAGATAGATAGATAGATAGATAGATAGATAGATAGATATAAACAGTCAGATAGATAGATAGATAGATAGATAGATAGATAGATAGATAGATACAGAAACAGTCAGAGATAAATCGATGGATGGATGGATCTATAGGTAGATATGAACAGTCAGTGGTAGATAGATAGATAGATAGATAGATAGATAGATAGATAGATAGATAGATAGATGTGCCAAGGGGCACAAGTTCGTCGAAGCTCGCGGTAAAGCTGTTATTCCTCGTATCTGCTGGCCTTAATATGACTCATCCCATTTCTCTTCGATATATTTTCAAGAGGTCTCAAGTCTTTGTGGTCAAATCGCTAACCGCCCTTCCTTGCCCAACGGTTTTTGAAGGACAGGGGGATGTGAATTCAAATCGCCGAGTATGATATTAATAATATTGTAGGATCGATTTTAATTTCCGAGCTCTTTTAAGCGGCGAAATCAACTTCTAAGAATGGATTTACATGCCTGACTCGAGACTCGATTTCTATCTTCCAGGCTATCCTTTTTTCTTCCTTTCTTTATTTCTTTCTCTCTTTGTCTGTCGTTTTCGATGTCTGTCTATCTCTCTTTTTCTTTCTCTCTCTAGCTAACTTTCTTTTTCTCACTGTCTATCTGGCTGTTTTTTTTTCTAATCTACTCTCTCGCTATCTGAATACCTTCACCTTTCCTTTTTGTTTATTTCTCATTTTTTCAGTTTATCTATATTTGTTTCTATCTTTGCCTATCGGCATCTATTTTTTCTCTTTGTCTATATATCTATGTATATGGTTTATCTATCTATCTATCTATCTATCTATCTATCTATCTATCTATCTATCTATCTATCTTTGTTTGTCTATCGAACTACAGGATGCGACGAATAAATTGTCGCCATTTTATATTTTTAATTTCGCGCATGCGCGTTGTTTGTTTTTGATTTTGTCAACTGCACAGTATAGTAAAATCATTTGGGAACTATTTGTGAGAAAAAAGAGGACTATAACACAATTCACTCCGCCAGAATTTTGGAAATGGTATGCTGGACTACTTGGCATTCGTGCCTGAAGCTCAAGTACGGATATTTCAGAGTGTTTAGGTGTTAATCTGAGGACAATGCAAAGGATTCATAAAGAGTTGGATGAGTCTAATGGTGATTACAAAGGTGTTTCGAGTGATGGTGACGTTATGCCTCCATTCATCTTTCCACAAAGGCCTACACTCAACACAGAGGTTTACTTGAAGTGCCCTGAGAAGGTAGTGCTGACCTGGGTCAAGAGGGTGGCTGCTAGAAGATCCTGTTTCTGGTATCAAGACTCTGCCCCATGCTACACGAGCGAAACCCAGTCATGGCTGTCAAACAGTTTATGCGACCACCATCTAATTCCAAACACAGCAATCCCCTTGATTAGTATCTGTGGGGCGCAGTTGAGCGAAAGACCAACAAAACTCCTTGTTAAACCAACGATGAACTGAAGGCAAGGATTATGGCAGCATTCACCAACTTAAACAGGAAGACCGTCCACAAGAGTTGCAGAAGATTCCGAATTCGTCTGAATGCCGTGGTTAAAGCCAATGGCGATTTTATTGAATAAATCTACTCTTTTGTATTTCAAAATATTTTTGTGTAATTTTGTTAAATATACCTGTTAAAATGAGATGGCAGTATTATTTTCATTTTTTTTTTACGTAATTTAGACGACAATTTATCCATCGCACCTTGTATATTCTCTTTCTCTCTGTCGATCAGTCTCGTTTTTTTCTCTTTCTTTGTCCATCTTTTTTTTTCTCACCTACCTTCTCTTTTAACTATCTTACTTCCTCTTTCGCTATCTCTCTTTCTCTACATACCTCTCTTTTTGTCTATTTCTTCTTTTTCTATCTATCGATATCTCTCTCTCTTTCTCTCTATATTTCTTTCTTTCTTTATCTATCTATCTAGCTATCAATTCATCTATAATGATTTCCCAAGGGTTGCTTAGATGTGGCTCAGGACCGAAACTATAGAGCGGACAGTGAGGATCGATCTCACTACTCAGTGGTAAATGTTCTAGCGAGGCAAACTTGCTAATCATTACACCAAGTCGAGATGCTTCTTTCTTTCTTTCTTTCTTTCTTTCTTTCTTTCTTTCTTTCTTTCTTTCTTTCTTTCTTTCTTTCTTATACGGTTCATTATCTATCTATCTATCTATCTATGAGACTCTATCTGTGAGAATCTATCTATCTATCTATCTATCTATCTATCTATCTATCTATCTATCTATCTATCTATCTATCTTATACGGTTCGTTATTTATCTATTTATCTATCTATCTATTCATATTTATGTAAGTATGTTTCTCTATCTATCTATCTATCTATCTATTAGTCTGTTCACATCTATCTAGCTCTCTCTTTCTCTCTCTCTCTCTCTCTCTCTCTCTCTATCTATCTATCTATCTGCCAGTTCATATTTGCCTGTTCATATCTATCTATATATCTATCTATTCACATCTATCATTAGTCTATTCACATCTATCTATCTATCTATCTATCTATCTATCTATCTATCTATTAGTCTGTTCACATCTATCTAGCTCTCTCTCTCTCTCTCTCTCTCTCTCTCTCTCTATCTATCTATCTATCTATCTGCCAGTTCATATTTGCCTGTCCATATCTATCTATCTATCTATCTATCTATCTATCTATATTAGCCTATTCACATCTATCTATCTATAAATTTTCATCTTTTATTTGTCTATCTCTTTTTCTGTCTCTATCCCCCTTTCTCTCTATCCATGTCTATTCCTTTCTTTCTGACACTTCCTATCTCTTTCTCCTTTTATCTATCCCTCTTTTCTTTGTTTTTTTTCTCTTTCCTTCTGGTTCTCTCCCTATCTCTCTCTCTCTCTCTCTCTTTGTCTGTCTGTCTCCCTTTTCTCTCTCTGTGCTTTTCACGACTTTCGACTTCATTTCTCGGATACTTCCGATATTTTCCGCTTTAGTTTTCTGTCATTATTTTCGATTTTTTTTTCAATAAATCAATAATAAAAATACTGCACGAAATCATCTTTCAATGGAAAGCGCATCTTTTACGCAAGAAATTGAAAAAAAAAATGTTTATAAACCTTTAAAAGGTTTTCAAGACAAGGCGATAAAAAGAAAACAATAGCAAATTATTATTATTGTTGTTATTCTGTTTTTGAATAAATACTATTAATGTTTATTGTGGATTATATCGCCATGACACCATAACATTATTAGGAAAAGAACAAATAAAATTAAAACGTGCTTTATGTCATATAAGACGAAGTGTATATATATATATATATATATATATATATATATATATATATATATATATATATATATATATATATATATATATATCTGTTCTATGAGTAAAACTTACATTAGTTCCTGTTCATTGATAATTCTTTCTTTTGATTTCTAGTGTATATTTCTATAGTAAAATAATTAACGTTGCATTTCTACTGTTATATATAATAGCCTTGGGCACCTCGAAGCGGTGTAAGCTTGTCTCGCTAGATCAATTACGACTGAGTAGTGACTTCGATCCTCACTAGGTGCCTCATACTTTCGGCCTTGTGCCACATCTAAGCTACACTTAGTAAATCACTAGGGCACCTCGACATGGTGTAATGGTTAGCAAGCTTGTCTCGCTAGATCAATTATGACTGAATAGTGAGTTCGATCCTCACTAGATGCCTCGTATTTTCGGCCTTGTGCCACATTATTATCAATGAGCAAGAATAAGGCTATTATATGTAGTGATTTTTCAAGGACAGTTTAGTGTCCTTGGAAAATCACTACATATAATAGCCTTATTCTTGCTCATTGATAATTTTTCTTTGTAATTTTCAGTGTATTTCTATATTAAAAGCATTAGCGTTGCATTTACAGTGTATATGTAATAGCACTGTTCTGTCAGTCACACTTGCATTCATTTCTGTGCATTGATGATTTATTTCTTATATATTTTCTCTGGCTTCATATACTTAATCATTTCCACAACAAGAAAACTTACAAAAGACCTCGAAAAAAGCACACATTATGCGGGAATAGTATTAAAAGAATATGGAAGCATTTACTGGGTACAAAACCGGTTGTATTTTTTACACTAGGGATACATCTAATATAAGGCTCAAGAGCCACTCGTGGTAGAGTGTTGTTGATTAAATTTTGGTATAGGGAGGTAGAAAGAATTGAAAAACTATGAAAATATACTGAATAAATGTCAACAACCCTTTGACAAGTTTGACAATCGCTGACATGTTTTCCATCTACCCAGGTTTGGGAATTTCGAGTTTTACCTCCTCTTAGGCCAGTTTTCAGTCAAGGGGGAAGAATCCAGTTTGTTCTACTCTTTAACCCATAGCTGTGAGTACCAGGGATAAATTCATACCTTACCTAAATGTATTTGTGAAAAATTGAATGCCAGAATTCGACTGAAATTCGAACTCGACATACAGATTTCACCTTCCGAATCGCTAACAGTTACACTTTCTGATATATAAATATATAAACACACACACACACACACACACACACACACACACATATATATATATATATATATATATATATATATATATATATATATATATATATATATACTCTTGTGCAAATTAATTGAAACAACAGCTTTGGTTTACTTATCTTCACCACACCGTCAGTTATTGACACACTGGAATGAAAGGGTGTAATCGATTTCTATTTTTTCCTCAGATTAGGTCATCTGTAGTGGTGTGCATTAATATGAATCTATTTTCGGGTTGTATGATGAAATTTGTTTGGCCTTGAAAAATATTGCGTCATCCGTGATTGCATCAGATTTTTATCACGCCCAGACACTATTGTCTTGACTGTCGATTAGTTGTCCTACAGCCATTGTCTGTGATGGACGTTACTCCAGGGAAGCGTACGAAAATTGTAACGCTGCCCAATTACGCTGGCAAACCTTACCAGTGAGCAAATCGAAGTATTAGAGACTGGCCCGGAAATTCTCCTAATTTATTTCAATCCAATCGAGAATCTGTGGTCAATCTGCAAGGAACGACCTCGTGGAATGAACATACGAAGTACTAACGTGTAAACTGGGTCATGCTTTATTTAAAAAATACGAAAAAAAAAGAATCAGTACATAACGGAATTATTCGTTTTGTTTCAATTAATTTGCATCTGGGTATATATAAATTTATGTGTGTGTGTGCGTGTGTGTGAGAGTGAGAGAGAGTGAGAGAGAGATAGTGTGTGTGTGTGTGTGCATTTAAAGTCAGAAAATATTTTTAGATAGTAAGAATTTTTTTTGTGGGGGGAGATAATAATTATTTACTCATAGACGTCTTACTAATTAACCCATAACTAGGGGAAGAAGAGGTGGATTCATGCCTTTTCCCAGTGGTATTTGCACATAAGTGAATATAACGAACCCAACGGGAATTGGAACTCGGCTCTCCGATTAACAATTCCGAACCATTATTCATTACACCACCCGCACATCCAAGCTTACAGGACCGGTTTTAGTGATACAAGTCTTACTATTTAATCCATATCAGGGGAGAAGAAGTGGATTCATACCTTTCTCAAGGATATTCGCGCGTGAGTGAATACGCTCAACTGGAAATGAACCTAGGCTCTCCGAATTCAAATTCCGCGCCGTTATCCATTACACCACCCGCACATCCAATCTTACAGCAGGCAGCATCTTAGAGAACATGGTATTCCCCAAGCTGTCACCCATCTATGTCGCTTAACGTCGGTGATCGTTCGGGAATCGCTGTGTCAACATGATGCAGGAGTAAGCTCAGTCATGTTGAAGAATTATGTAAGATCGTTTGCATTTATAGAACAGATCTACTAAGCTTAGATGTGGCACAAGGCAGATATTAAGAGGCACCCGGTGAGAATATAACTCATTATTCAGTTGTAGTTGATCTAGCAAGACAAGCTTGTTAAACATTATACTCACTCGAAGTGCCTCATGGATCTACGATTGCATCGATGGCAGGTGACCGGACCGAAGACATTAATTTATATTCAAACACCACCACACAAACGCACGCGCGCGCACACGCAAACACACACACACACTCACAGATACAGACACATACATGCGCAGAGTCAAACGTACATGCACACACAGGCATACACGCACACACAGAGACAGACACGTATGCACACACATACACGCCCACGCATGGGGCACCTCAAGGCGGTGTAATGGTTAGCGTGCGTGTCTTGCTAGAACAATTAAGACTGAATATGGGCACCCCATACTTTCGGCCTTGTGCCACAACTAAGCTACGCTTAGAAAATCACCATACACGCAAAGACAACAGAAACATACACGTAAACACACACACACACACACACACACACACACACACACACACACACACACACACACACACACACAGACACAGACACAGACAGGCAAAAAGCAAGCATGGAAATGCACTTTTTTTTATAAGTGATATAAAATACGTGTGCCGGTATACTGTGAGATAAGAAACGTCCTTTTGAACATAAAAGGGCAAACAAACAATCTGTGCTCTTTCACAAATATAACGCCCATTTTTGCACAAGGTCAAAATGGCGCCGAGCACCACTAACTTTAGATTGGGATATTTTGTTCCTTCTTTGTTTGTTTGTTTGTTTTTTTTTTTTTTTTTTTTGTGGTTCGTCCACACTTTTTATTCGTTAAACCTAAAACATTTCTTTTGGCAACTAGTGAAACATTTTAAAAGCTTTAAGTAAAGCGAAGATGCAAAGATTCAATCAAGGACCTAAACAATGAAACAAACGAACAAAAAAGAGACGTCCGCGTTGAATTCAACACCTTTTGTTTTCGTTGATTATTTATCGTATTTGTTGCTTTCATTTTTTTAGGTGTTCTTATTTTTTTGTTTTGTTTTCGCTTTCTTAAATCTGCACACTCTTCTTCTTCTTCTTCTTCTTCTTCTTCGTTTCTGAAACATCGCAGCCATCGTCTTTTTATACGAAGTTATTTCAGTTCGATGGTTTAAACAAGAATTGCAAGAAAGCGAGCCAGAATTAGAGAGAAAATATATAAACCTGACAGCGATAGAAACAAGTGGCGGGAGAATAATTCTATAGACAGCTTTCTTTTCTATATTACAAATAATAATAATAATAATAATAATAAGAAGAAGAAGAAGAAGAAGAAGAAGAAGAATCTTTGCAAATTATCCTAATACTACTTCTGCTACAGCTAATAATAATAGTAATCATTATTATCTTTACAAATAATAATACTAATACACCTTCCAAACAATAGTAATAATAATAATCCTTACAAATGAAAAAAATAATAACTTACGAATAATAATAATAATAATAATCCTTGTAAAAATTAATAATAATTAATTTTTATTATTACTATCATTACAGATGATAATTATATTATTTACAGTAAAGCTGCTAAAAATACAAGGGGTTACAGGGTTTGGAAGAATTAGGAACAGAATCATTAATAATGAGCGGGAAGAGAAAAGAGTAATCAGGAGGACAGTAGATAGCGATTGGCATTGCATTTAAATTTTTGCAAGGGAGGAAAGCCACTAAGACACAAGGGGTTACAGGGTGTGGAAGAATTAGGAACAGAAACATTAATAATGAGCGGGAAGAGAAAAGCTTAATCAGAAGGACAGTAGATAGCTGTCTGAAATGACAATGGA